AATAAGCGCAAGTTAGAAGTAGCCCTGACCTACCGTTGATTTTTGGCATTATTTCTAAGGTTTCGTAAATTTCTTATTATCTAAATTGAATAGGTTAAAAGGTTTTTTTTATTATTTGTTAGATTTAATTATGTATTAAACAAAAAGTAGCAGAAAACTATTGTTTTCATTAAAAACGCGATCGCCAACTGAAAAATTAAAATAGAGGACTGAAATTTTGCCGCAATTTTTCTTTGTTTGTGACCAAGGAAGAAATTTTCATATGGGACTGAAATAAAAAACATTATTTTTATTTGACACAAAAGTTATTGCATGCATGTATGTATTTTGAATATTCAGAATACATATTAAGGGTATTCAGACTATACTCGTTAAGGTCTTAATTCGGTATTCGGTAACTCCCACCATTGTTTTGTTTTTGTAAATTGACGAATATATCATTACCAACTTAACGAGGTGGCAAGTCTGATAATGGGGTAACACACGCGTTAAAATGTTAGCTGATTCCTTTCTGTCATTTCATACATTTTATCAGTTCATACATTTTATCAAAAGTTCAATAAATCGTTCCGTTGTGGAATTAATAAATGTTTATAAATAAAAGAACTTCACGTCATCTGATTCGAAAGTAATTTTAACCAGAAAAAGAATAAGGAGCTTTCGAAGTTGAAAGTGTTACCGAGTTACCAGATAACGAATTAATACATTAACGAGGATATTCTGAATTCCCTTATTGAGAATATCTCGTTCTAAAAATATTTTGTAGATAAATGTGTTCCACAGTCTTTCAAGGTAAAATGTATAATATTATGGAAACTGCTATCGAATTTAATTGTTTAGAAACTATAGCCACCTTCGATTCGTCAACACTTAGAGAGTGGCTAAACAAACCAGTAACTGACATAAACTACTCACAATAGTAAAACTAGTATAATATTTGCATAGAGATAGACCCTCTAAGCGACTTAGCACTACAACGGCCAGGTCTTTCACCTACCTAGAAAGCCCGTTGTGCCAAAATTGGCACACTATATTTTAAATGCGTAAACTGTATGTGATGTGATGTGAACTGCATCCTTGCTTTAAGAATTTTATTCATTAGGATCAGATTCTGAACCTTCAGAATCATACTCCGCAGTATTGCGCAAAATGTTTATCTAAAACTTGGTCATTTCACCGTTCACAATGTAGCACAATATTTATACTGTTCTAAAAACCTGAGGAACATGAAACAATTTTTATTTATATTTGAACAATCTGTTTATGAAAAATATAACTTGTCATTTGTGCACAACCATTTTCCAATTGGAAATGCCAATTGGAGCCATGTTCTGCTCCACTTGCTCTTTCCATCGCAGTGGGGGCCTCCCTCTTCCTTTGCTACCAACAGCGGGTTCCGAGTTGAATACTTTCAGAGCTCGAGCGTCGGTGTCCATTCGAATGGCATGGCCATGTCAGCGGAGCCGCTGTATTTTATGTCCATGGCATTGTAAAGCTCATACAGCTCACTGTTCCATCGCACAGGGTCAGATTTTGCCAATATGGGACGTCAAATTTCAATTGTAGCCAAAGGTTTAGAGATATAAACTTAAAATTTGGCATGATTTTTAAGAAGAACATAAGCTTCAATATGGTTATGAATAGGACAACCCAAAATATGCTTCTTAAAACTTATTTTAAGCGCTTAAAATATGCCAATAAATTCTAAATATATGCTCCACAAATTTTAAAATCTGATTTCAGATTTGTAATCAGCGACCTTAAAAACATATACATAGAAACAAAGTGGTGTCAAATTGTGTCAAGGCGTCTTTGAGCAAATATGTAGTTTTGTCCTCAAGATTTGGATTTCAGACTTCACCGATCACTTACAATAGATACCACGGATACGATGTAGCACATTATTTTTACATGTATAATGCGTTCCTCTATGTCCATGATAAATTTCAAGTGCGATGTCATAGGTAAATTTTCGCAAAAATGTTTACATTTTTGCGCGCCTGTAAGCGGTACTGTGTCTCGGTAAATATGTGTAAGTGATAATTTTTTAACTTCGTCCAATGTCAATTGATAACCACACAAAAGGCCAACGACGATAAAATAATGTTATTTTTAAATTTTTTGTTGCACAATGTTAACACTCTGGGGAGGCGTTGTCCCGCTAACTGGGTGTAAGTGGTTGGTTTTCGTGATTTACGTGAATAAACTGAAAATCTTAGCATACTTTTTGTGACGATAAAATAAGTCACTAAAAACTGTCGCTAGCTCCCGAACTATTATATGCTGATATTTTTTCTAGCTTATTTTATTTCGAAAATCTTCAATTTGATTTACCTCTATAGAAATGTGTCTTATAGCATGTTTACGTTACCGTGTTGTGTAGCTCGTTCTCGTTTTACGCTGTAAAACTAGTAAACGCGCTGATCAAGTGGAGTGGTACGAGATTCGGACACTCTTGAATTCTGGAAGATCTTCCAGCAGTCTAAAGGCGCTTGGACTTCACAGTCCCCCCCCCCCCCACTGGACTGATGAATCCTTTCCAAATAAGGATCCCCTCAAGGGGTGAATGGGAGGAGGATTCAGTCCTGATCTCTTACTCCGACTCAGCAGGCATATACACTGATGGCTCCAAGTTTGATTTGAACGTAGGTGGTGGAGTATACTCGCAAGAACTCTAACTTAGCCTCAGCTTTTGTCTGAGAGACCTTTGCAGCGTTTTTTAAGCTGAACTTACAGCAATAAACGAAGCTGCAAATGGCTGATCGATTCTTCTATTAATTCGCATGCAGTAGCCATCTTTTCTGATAGCCAAGCAGTTATAAAAGCACTTAGTTGTGATAAATCGTCGTCGAGGATTGTCATGAAATGTAGACGTACCCTAAATAAGCTGAAAAGGAGATATGTCACTAATGTCGTATTTGTGCGAGGTCATAGAGATGTACCGGGCAACTGTGTTGCGGATGAACTGACAAGGAAGGGCACCTTACTGTCAGCTATCAGTACTTCTCGAGATGCGGTAGAGCTGGAAAAGCATCGAT